ATAAAAATTGTATACACTTTTATATCAGTAAGTGTGAAAATATAGATTAATTGGGTGGTTTTCTAGGAAAATGTAAATTACCAGAGTGACTTAAGGAGGGACAGGAAACCTGAATAAAATGGAAAAGTGTGGAAGAAACTTAAAAGACGGTCAAAGTGGCTGGGCGCGGTGGCTCACGCCTGTAATCCCACCACTTTGGGAGGCTGAGGAGGGGGGATCACGAGGTCAGGCATTCGAGACCAGCCTGGTCAACATAGTGAAACCCCATCTCTACTAAAAGTAAAAAGTAAAAAATAATTAGCAGGATGTGGTGGCAGGCGCCTGTAATTCCAGCTGCTTGAGAGGCTGAGGCAGGAGAATCGCTTGAACCTGGGAGGCGGAGGTTGCAGTGAGCCGAGATTGCACCACTGCACTCCATGCACTCCAGCCAGGGCAACAGTGTGAGACTCCGTCTCAAAAAAAAAAAAAAAAAAAAAAGAGGCTCAAAGTTTTCTCCCCAGAAATGGTACCAGGTCCAGTTGGTATTCTGGAAGTTCTGGTATGATGGACATTCTAGCAAATCTTGAAAGATCAGATAATAGGAAAAGATAGATAGCTTCCCAGTTCATTCTATAAGGCTAGTATAACTGGACAGGTTTAAACAAACAAACAAAAAGAACTATAGCCTAATACCACATATTAATAGAGCAACAAATATTTTCAATAGAAGATTATCAAATGGAATCCATCATTGTAGTAAAAGAAGAATGTATTGTGACAAATGAAAGCTTGCCCCAAGAGTGCAGGGATTGTTCAACATTAGGAAATGTTATTGTAATTTATTGTATTAAGATATTAAAGAGAAAATATCATATAATCATCTCCATAAATGCTGAAAAGTGATCTGATTAAATTATACATCTATTCTGCTGTATTGGGGTAGTTTGTTACACAGCAATAGATGACTAATATAGTAAGCTAGGAATCATGAAAACTTCGTTAACTTGGTAAAGAATTTTTATCAGAAACCAAAGAGAATCATCAAATGTAACAGTGAGGCACTAGATACATTTCCATTGAATTCAGGAACAAAATAAGGATGGCTGCTATCACTGTTATTAACCAATATTTTTCTGGAAGTTTTAACCGGTGGGATTAACAAAAGAAATATATGATATAAATGTTAGAAAGACAGAGTTAGAATTAGCATTATTTAAGGATAATATGACTGTCTACTTAGATAATCGAAGAGAATATAATAAAAAATTAGTAGAACTAAGAAGAAAAGTCAGTGCACTGAGTAGACACAGACAAATATACACACAAACCATTAACTTCTCTGAGTACCAGCAATAACTAATTAGAACACATAATAGAAAAGATCCCATTCACAATAGAAAAAAATAATTCTATAAAACCACTATGAATTTACAAGAAATGTGAAATACTTCTCTATAGAAAACTATAAAATTTCATCAACGGCTGTAAGAAGACTTGAGTAAAACAAAGTTATATCTTGTTCCTGGATGAGAGTCACTGTGGTAAAAATGACATTTTGTTCCCAATTTGGTCAAAACATTCATTGCATTCCTTATTAAAATTTCAGTGGTATTTTCTTTGGGATTTGAGTGATTGGAGTTTAAAGTTCATTTGGAAGAGTAAATGTTCATGAATCACTAAGAAAATTTTGAAAAAGAATTAGGGTGGCCGGGTGCAGTGGCTCACGCCTGTAATCCCAGCACTTTGGGAGGCCCAGGTGGGCGGATCACGAGGTCAGGAG